GTGTGGGATGGACAGCCAGAGCCAATGTTCTGTTACCTCCTATGGACAGGTTTTGTTTAAAAGGCCAGCTCCTCAGTGTTCATAGCTTCAGAGCACTCTAGTGACAAGTGCCATCTAAACGTGGCACAGATAGGAGTGTTTTCCACAAGATCCTGGCTCTGTTTTAGTCTGGATGCCTGCTCTGAGCTCTGACAGGAGTCCTGACCTCGGGGTATCAATGCACACATTTCACCCCTGGTGTTTTTATGTGGTTCCTGAGGTGCCTGTGATCCACTGCAAATGGGGCTTTGCAGAGCTGGGTCAGGCTGTTCTTGGAGGGGTTAGGGTAAACCAGAGKAAGGTTTAATGATACCAACCCAGCAAAGCACACAAGGAAGGGCCGTGGTGCTGCAGGAGAGCCTGCAAAGCCTGCAGCCTGTGCTGCTTCTGACTCCTGCCCAGCTGGGATGATGCAGGTCCCTCTCTCAGYCTCAACTCTTTATATTTTTACTTTAATGCCTGGGCACATTGCACAACCTCTCTGCATTCTGTCAAATTTCAATTGRTACAAAAAATGGTTTTTAAGATTCTGCTTTTTGAGTAGAACAATTTTGACTTCTCAAAAGGAGGTACAATTTGTAGGTGTGGCTGTATTCCTTTAATTTCTTTCTCAAACTCCAGGGAGCAGCTGCAGCTGTGTCAGGGGAGGTTTGGGTTGGAGATCAGGAAAGGTTCTTCCCTCAGAGGGTGGTGGGCACTGGCCAGGCTCCCCAGGGAATGGGCACGGCCCCAAGGCTGCCAGGGCTCCAGGAGCATATTCTAATTAATATTAAATAGTGTTCTGTACATCTGGCACTTGAGCAAGTGCTTCTGTACATGGAGTTATTTGGGGCAGTAATCCCAGCAGGCACATTCAGGAGAGCGTTCAGGCTCTTTGTGGCAGTCCAGGTTCAGGAAATGCTCAATGTCTCCATGCTGACCAGAAGTGCTGGTGCAAGAGCAGCAGGGAGGAGCTCTCAGGGTGGTTTGGTGTAAAACTACACTCACAGCAGCTGTGCTGGGTGCAGAGCTGGCCTGGAGAGCCCAGCAGGCAGGGAGATAAATGCTCCATCCCTCCTGTGCTGCAGGTGGCCTCGGTGCCTGGTCCTGCAGGGTTCTTTTTGTTGGTGGCACAGACAGGAGTTGGCAGCACAGTGCTTGTTCTGCTGCTCAGAACCAGAAATGCTCTGTTTTGTCAGTACTTGCATGGAGCTAATGCTGGGACAGTTATTAGTTACATTTAATCTCATTTATGCAACTTCTGTCTCATTTGGTTTTGCGGTTCTGGCTTGGAAGGAGTTTGATGTTCTCTGTGAAACAAACAGTTCTGAGTCCAAGGTCTGCTGCAGCCCTGCTCRATCCCAGGCTGAGGCCAAAAGTGTTGCCCAACTGGTGCTTCTGCAGTTCACGGTCCTGTAAATCATTATGGTTTGCAAAAACTCTCTCTTCCCCTTGGAGATGRTTCAATTTTCTCTTCTAGTGTGAAGTATTAATTCCAAACCTTACGTGATTGCTTGTATTGTACTTGTACTTCTCTACTTGTTGCTAATGCCATCTCTGCATTACCAGAACAGATTAAGCGACTTTTTTCAGCAGATTTAGGAAATTGGGAGTGGATTTTTTCACTGCAGCTCCCCTCCAGATGTCACAGATTTCATTAAGTGTATATATATCTTATTGCTAATACTTTTCATTGTGCCAGCATCCTGCTGGTGTCTTAGCTGATGGTTGGCTACAAGGAATTTAAGACACAGGCACTTTTTAAGATGGTTTATATTTGACTTTGTTTAAACTGGGGAAATACCTCCCTGAAAACCTGCTGGGTTTGACRGCAAAATCAAGCTACATGTTACAATGTCTGTATTAAAATGTCTGCTAGAAAATATCAGTTCCAAGAGTCATATGAGGCAATGTCAATGCTTAAAGTAAATAGATTTTGGAGTAAGCAGTGTGTTTGTATTGATGATTTCTCCATGTCCTGCCTGCAGAGCTATCATCATCTCCGGAGGACCAAACTCAGTGTATGCAGAAGATGCACCGTGGTTCGACCCAGCCATATTCACAATAGGAAAGCCCGTGCTTGGGATCTGCTATGGGATGCAGGTGCTGTTGGGAGAGAAATGGTTCCCTGGGCTTGGGARGGATCTCTCAGGGCAGTGCAGCCATTAAATCTCCGTGCACAGCCACCTTGTGGGCCTCATTCTGCAGGAGCTGCAGGGGCAGGGCTGGAGGAGCTGCTTTCCAAACGGGCAGTGCCACAGTGGCCGTTCACTGATCCCCTGAGCGTGCTGTGTGCTCCTCTCCTGCCTCTGCTTGTCTGATAACGGCCCCAGGTTGGAGGAGGGCAGGTTTGGATGAGAGATCAGGSAGAAAAWYCCYCCYKGGRRGGTGGGGAGGTCCTGGCACTGGGTATCCAGAGAASCTGTGGCTGCCTCTGGATCCCTGGCAGTGYCCAAGGCCAGGCTGGACATTGGGCTGGGACAGTGAAAGGTATCCCTGCCATGGCACTGCATGGGCTTGAAGATCCCTTCCAACCCAAACCAGTCTGGGCTCAGTTGTATAAATGGATTTTCTTTCCTGTAGTGCAGTGAATTGAGTTCCACACTGCCTTTTTTGTCACAGTAAATATAACCTGTCAGTCACGGGTTAATTCTGCCCAGCTGCTCCTGTAGGAGGTGCCTCTCCTGGGAGCAAGTGAAGCAGTGCTTCAGCCATGGACTGTTTCTAGCATAGTTTTAAAGAGTGCTTAACACTCCCTCWCAAAAAATAAATAACCCTTATTTACCTTTGGGCTCCCTGGTGRTGCTGCAGGGATCTGGTAGATCCAAGCTGAGCAAAGCAAACTTCCCTGGAGATAAACTTCCCAAGGCCTGGGTTAGGTGCGTGACTTCTGCTTTTTTTTTCCAGGCTTAGTCACAAAACTACGGGAATAAATTCAGGTTTTTGACATGGCCTCAGATACTCAGCTGATGTKCAGAGCAGCCATTCCTGAGGGAGGAGCTGTACCCTGTGGAATTATGGAATGTGCATTATTTGGCAAACCTGTGCCTGTGGGTTTCTGCTCCTTGTGTGTGGCAGCGTCCCTGTCTCTGCTGGCAGAGCAGAACGAGCCCGCCCCAGAGCAGGGATTCATTCTGACAGAATTCTGGCACCTTTGGGAAACCACACAAAGGCAGGGAGRTGGTGTCAGGCTGAGGGATGAGGTGCTGCCTTCTCACAGGGTCCTTTTGCTCTGCAGATGATGAACAAGGTGTTTGGAGGGACGGTGCACAAGAAGAGCGTTCGGGAGGATGGAGTGTTCAGCATCACCCTGGATAACACCTGCTCACTCTTCAGGTGCAYTGGCTTCCTAAGTTACCAGAGCAATACTGGAAATACCCATCTGGGGAAGGATCTCTGGATGAGAGGGCGGGGATTTAAAAAGAAAAGTGAAATTGCATTTTAGCTGGTAATTTCTAATAACACTTTTACAAGTGTGGTCACAAATGAGCAGGTTACTCATTGAAACAACTCCTTAGGTATAACTTCCCAACCAAAAGCAGGGGTGTTTGCTGGCAATGTTGTGTAAACTCCTTGTTCTAAGGTGTTCATGGAGACTCTGTGAGAAATTCTACACTCTGAGAATTTCTGAGTGGAGCTCTTGTCTCCTGCTGTGCAGTGCTCTTGTATTGCTTGGTGCCCATCCAGTTTTGGAAAGGCTGCAGAAAATCCAAACCTATTCCTTTTCTAGCTCCCTTTAAAATTGCTTTGTAATGTTTTATAAAAGCAGAATTAGATTTCTTGGTAAYTTTGTCAGTGGCTTTCGAGTTCCTTCTAAAAAGCTGACTGTTTATTCATCCCTGGATTCCAATTTTATTATCTCCCCTCTGTAGGGCTCCAGCAGAGCAGTCTGATTGTCCAGAACTGCCCAAATTGTCCTGCAAACATATAGTTCTGAGCAGGGAAAGTTCACTGTGTTGAAATGAAGAGCAAGGCTCCCAGGATCCTGACTGACTGCAGATGCTCTCCCTGTCCAGGAGGGGATACTTCAATACACGGGCATTAACTGGGAGAAATTCCTTCAGAATTAAGATCAGTTCCCTCCTGCAGGAGGGTTGTACAGGGACCTGAGCAGCTTCCAAGGGAAGCCTCTCAAAGCTGSAGATGGCTGTTCCTGGGTAGGAAGTCCTGCAGATGTTTCAAATGTCCTGGTCAATTGAGATGTTCTTTTGTTGGAATCCCTCGGGGCATCCCTTGGTGAGGCAGGGAATCAAATCTTTGTCCTTTCTTGAATTGATTCTGGTTTTTAATCTTTGTTTAGGGGCCTTCAGAAGGAAGARCTTGTGCTCCTCACTCATGGGGATAGTGTGGATAAAGTAGCTGATGGATTCAAAGTGGTGGCACAGTCTGGGAACATCATAGCAGGTATTGCTTTTATCCTGAGCTTGGYTCTTGATAATGTTGTGAAGGAAAGGATTGTGGTAGACAGGAGTTAGAACCAAATGGGAGCAGAATAATAGCTCTTGTTATTTAACAGCCAAATAAACAAATTGGTTTTAACAATTTCTGGTGTGGGTTTGCATGTTGAGCTGTTATGGTAATACAGAAACGGACTTTAAAAGGAATGGTCCTGATTTAAATGTGGTCRAAGTGAAAGTTAACATTATTTATACAGTTGATGTTATTTTAGAGTATGCATGTGTTATTTGTCTTTGAAATAAAATACTCTGTGCCCTTAAGGCAGGGGAGAGGGAGATGTGCAGTGTCAGTGGGGTTTGTGTTTTACACCRTAACAGTACAAGTGAAGCACTGTTTAATTATTAAAGCTTTATTAACTTGTTATTGTATTTAATATTGCATGAATGTTCAACTGAGCAAGAATAATGCAGGCACTGAGAGCAGGGTTTTAACATCACACACAGATTGTCACAGRAAATAGTGGCACCTTAGAGTTTGGGGTTTGAAAACTGCTGGAGTTACTGRGCCCCACAGAGSCACTTGGGGTCTCTTGCTTGACTYRGGTATKCATTSCATTCCAGCTTATTTATTTTAATTTTGGTTTGTCATGTCTACCAGGCATAGCAAATGAGTCCAAAAAACTCTACGGGGCACAGTTCCACCCTGAGGTGAGCCTGACTGTGAATGGGAAGATGATCCTGAAGAATTTCCTGTACGATATCGCGGGGTGCAGCGGCACCTTCACCGTGGAGAACAGAGAGCTGCAGTGCATCCAGGAGATCAAGGAGAAAGTGGGCTCCTCCAAGGTCCTGGTGAGTTGAGTCCCAGCTGGAGGGTGAATGGCAGAAGCAGTGGCAGTGGCTGGGGTTGGCTGGAAATGGGGAATTGCCATCACTGGGGTTGGGTTTTGGGGGAGTTGCTCAGCTGGGGCAGTGCA